TTAATGTTGTTCGTTGTTTTTAAGAAAAAATTTTATAAAAAAATGTACACTTAATAAACCTTAGCCGGAATTTTTAAATAATAAACTGAATTAAACCCCAATATTTAAAGCAACATTTAATGATGTATGATTTTTTAAAGAAAAAAATAATAATAATAAAACTTACTATTTATGGGTTGCATTAAATTTTGTCATATTTTTTTGCTATTATTTTTGGTAAATAGTTATTCTTATTATATATATATAGAAGATATAATTATCTCAACTTGCTAGTAAACGCAATACACATGCTAGAAAACGAGATTTTAAGTAAAGTCTTATACGGGCAATGGCGGATACAGGATGATTACATAATGGAGGCAACATATAATTAATACCGCATCGTCGCCTCACTTGCAAGTTTGATGTATCTTTTTTTTTTTCTAATATATGTATACATATATTGACGGAATGAGCCTGAGGCCCCTATATATATATATATACATATCTTTTTCTTTTATATATGCATATATTGACCGATTGGCGCTGTTGGCTGCTGCTAAATATATATATATGCATCTTATTCTTTTTTTTTGTGTTATTAATGGGCCTCTAGATATTTTTGTTTTCTTTTAATAATTAAGTTTATTATTTTGGGTTGTTAGTTGTAGGTTGATTTTTTTTTTATTTGGGCTGGGGCATAATTTTGGGCCTAGAAGAATTTTACTCTTTTGGACTACCTAACTAATATAAGTTGAAAACAATTTTGTTGGGGGCCTGTGACCTCACTTAATTAATGTGGATCCGCCACTGTATACGGGTATGGTAGGGCTACTATAGGATTCCTCTACATCCTTTTTCTTGGAGGATAGATAAACTTATATAAATACAAACCTTATTAGATATGAAAACCTTAACATCACTTACAGTATGCACATTGATTTGAACGTCTGAAGTTTTTACATTGAGAATCCCTCCCAACACCTTACATATACCAAAAACTAGTGAGTGAAGAGGAAGTCATTGCATAAAGTGCAAAACACAAAACTATATCTATCAATTAACAATGAAAGATGATTAGTCAGTAATAAGTCATTCATTATAATGATCTAATTATGGGATGAGAAATTGGCAAGTTCTTGTTAGAGAAAACACTTTCTTATTAAATTCAACAACATAGTTTTCTACATTATATCATAAAAATGTAATTCACATGGTTAGGAAAACAAATAACATGAGACCCAAAATAATAATAATAATAATAAATAATAAATAAATAAAAAAGGAGAAACACACAACAAGAAAACATTAGAAAATAGAAATACTGGACGTTCTTTAAACCGCCCGCCCGAGTAGGAAGCGGAACAAAGTGTGACCACACCAAANTCTCCTCCTATACGAGGCCCACAGCTTCGTCTCCCGAATCAAAACCCTAGCCGGCCACAACTTGGACCCCACCCCTTGGCACGTCTTCCCCTCCACCTCCCCCGACCCACAATCCACCCTCTCCCGAGCCTCCACAATCCTCCGTTGCACCTACCTCGTCTGCACCGACAACAACAACAACAACAAACCCACCCTACCAGACTTGGTGGGCCCCACCAAAACCGAGCGGCCCACTAAATGCCCGAGTTTTTTCGACAACATTCGCGCGGACCTCGGCCCTTGGGAGGCCACCGGGATCTCGTCGGGCCACGTGGCCGAGGCCCGAAAACACGCCGCTTTTCGAGTGGTGATAGTCGGAGGGGTTCTGTACGTGGATTTTTACTATGCGTGCGTGCAGAGTCGAGCCATGTTCACGATATGGGGGATTTTGCAGTTGTTGAGGAGGTATCCCGGTCAGGTGCCGGACGTGGACTTGATGTTCGACTGCATGGACAAGCCGGTTGTCAATCAAACGGTGCATGCGGACGTGCCTCTCCCGTTGTTTAGGTATTGCACGACGAGCCAACACTTTGACATCCCGTTTCCCGATTGGTCGTTTTGGGGTTGGTAAGATAGATATTCGTACACGCGTTGAAAAGTCGCATTTTACGTATGTCGTGAATCGGCGGTTTCTTTTGTTATGTCGGTTTAATCATATTTACATTGTCTTAATGCAGTACGTTGGTGTTGTAGCTAAGTAGCAAATGCAAAGATAAAATATAGACCTTTTTGTGGAAGTATAAAATGAATATGACAAAATTACCCTTACTATCAGAAATCGTTTCTAGAAATATGAAATTTCGGAAATGATTTCTATATCACATAAACAATGTCTACAAACCATTGTTGAAATCTCAAATTTCTAGAAACTGTAAGAGTAATTATGTCATTACACATAACAAAATGACTATTACTTCATAAGGCTATTTACTAATATTACCATATCATAATATGTCAGTTTAAGTTTAATAGTATCAGTATGAAGTTTTATTCATAGATTGTACGATCAGACCGACTCACTCGAGATTTTGTTAGGCCAACATAACCAACTATTACTTTTTTGCATTCTTTTTCCTGGCAGGACAGGTCAGAAATAAACATCGGGCCATGGGAAGAGGAGTTCAAGAAAATAAAAGAAGGTTCTAGAAGACGAAGATGGGTGAGCAAACGGCCTTTCGCCTATTGGAAAGGAAACCCAGACGTTCTCTCTCCCGTTCGCACCCAATTGCTTGAATGTAACGATACCCAGAAATGGAATGCACAAATAATGCGTCAGGTATTAATTCATCCGTTTTAAATTAATTTGATATCAGGTATAGTGTTCATGTTACATTCATTCATCAGAATAATTATTATAAGTAAATAAATAAACACTAATTAATAATTGATAAATTGTTTGATTACTGGAAATATATTAATCAGGACTGGGGAGCAGCCGCCCGAGGTGGTTTTCAGGACTCTAAGCTGGCTAAGCAGTGTGCTCATCGGTAAGTAATTAATTCTATTATTTTTATGAATAAAGTTGGGAAAAAGTAGTAATTAACACACTTAAATTTTGATTAAACTTAGAAGGAAATATGGTCGAAATTTCGAAATTCCAGCTAAAAATTGTCCCCAACTCGGTCAGCTTTAAACATTTTCCGACTGAAATTCAGATCCTGGCCGAAATTGTATCAATTTATAAAAAAAAAAATATATAAGAAAAAATTATAGGACTAATACTAACAATAAATTTGATAGCAATGCACATTGTATATCAGAAATTCTTATGGAGTCATCGATAACTTTATGTATTGACACATGTCCAATGTGTATTTATTACAGGACACGTGTCAATACACTAGTTGTGAATAACTATGGCTCTATATGTCAAACCATCCTATTACTGCATAACAAAACGGCATTGTATATATCCTAGTAAATTTCTAACATACATTGTCTTCAATTTGGTCAACTTCAAATTGGAGCCACTAGTTATACATTTTCCCACCAAAATTCACATTTCTTTTCAAAATTTAAAATTTACAGTACTTCTATTAATTAACTTGACTTACGTGACATACTATTATCGAATTTTATCTTTTCCCATAAAATTCGATACAATGAAATAAAAACCAATTAAAAAAAAATCGTAGATACAAAATCTATGCCGAAGGCTACGCTTGGTCCGTGAGCCTGAAGTACATACTCTCGTGCGGTAGTTGCACGTTAATCATTGCCCCACAATACCAAGACTTCTTCAGCCGCGGCCTTGCGCCACACGTGCACTATCTCCCGATCCCTTCCGAAGACATTTGCCCGGCCATCAAATTCGCGGTCGACTGGGGCAACTCGTACCCGTCCGAAGCCGAGTCGATCGGGCGGGCGGGTCAAGAGTTTATGGCGGGACTCAGTATGAACCGAGTTTATGACTACATGTACCACTTGCTCGTGAAATACTCGAGTCTACAAAGGTTCGAGCCCGCTCGGCCATCGAGTGCCGTGCGAGTTTGTGAAGAGTCGGTGCTTTGTTTTGCGGACGAGAAGCAAAAGGAGTGGCTTCAGAGGTCGGTGGCTTCGCGGGCCTTAGATCCACCGTGCTCGATGGATGTTAATTAGCTGTTTATTCGGTTGTTGCAATGGGAGACATTAATTAATTGCTTTGTGATTGTTATGAACTTTGTTTTTATGGGCTTGGTTTATGGATCCCTTTTGGGATATTTTTGAATGAAAAGAATAGATATAGTAGCTATAGAACATTTTAATAGGGTGAAATCGAATGAAGACGACTCGGAAGGAAATTGGAGACTTCGTTGGCTTATTTTCTAGCGATCGAAATCTCCAATTAAGAATCGGGAGACATTGTTGCATTCTGCATACATGTATTTCTTTTATATGAATATTTGATCCAATTGCGGGGATGTTAGTAACATTCGGTCATACTTTAAGGACATTTTTCAATCAATAAAATTAGAAAAAAAAATTAACTGCTGTAGAATTAATATTAATAATAAAATGAATTAAGTCGAGAGTTTCAAAAAAATGGTATATGATTTGATAAAATCCACAACCAACAACAACCACCACCTTATTTGTATAGTTTTTGATTAAAAAAAATGATGGAATCAGTATTGGTAAGTCCAAGGTAAACGAAGAGCATGCATACTGAATTACTGATATACTCTGTAACAAAAGTGATTTTTTACTACAATCAAATTATTAAATGTAGTACGTAAATCAATTAACAAACATCTAATATAATGTATTAGATGTGTATTCGAACTATAGGAGCTAGTAATAGTCGATATGCTCATAGTTGTTACGTTATTGTAATAAATTTGAGAAGAATATCAATTTAAAATCGCTCCTTCTATCAAGTCGAAAAAGTGAATAATAAATAATATAAATATAAGTATAATATTTGATAATATAAATATGCATTTGTTATCAAAATCATAGATTTTTAATTTTCTTAAGGAATTTATTTAACAAATTCGCAATATAGCTCATTTGATATTTTCGTATCCGAGAATCAACAACAAATTCGACCCCTTCACAAAATGATCAATTGTTATGCACAAGGATTTGTGATAATAAAATCATATTCTAATTTCGATCACATATTTTAGAAAATATGGGTTAAAAGATATGGAGAGAAAAGGAGCGAACCATGGCTCCTCAAAAAAGGTGGAGAGGGTCACAGACACAGTACAAAAATCTACACTCAGTCAACAGCGCCAAGAGAGAACCACACGAGCCCACCACCGGATTTAATTTCGCCATCAAATCCATTTGTCAATGGCGGTAATTGTATCAGCTTAGCTCCCAATTGCACGTACGGTTATGGTCCCTTTCCGCTTTTCATCGCACCTGCAGTCTGCGTTGTCTCACAGCTCCCGAATCTTCTTATTATCCGCTTCCCATTCGATTTTTGGATTACCCATCTACTCGTTAGCCGTTTTCTTCCCTTTTTGACGTGACAACGGATTGATGCCCTGTAAAAGTTTGGATCTTTTCTTGTTTTAATTCACGATTTTGCCATTCTAGGGTTTTTTTTTTCTTTAGTGTCTGAGCTTCTTGGATCGGTTGGAATCGAAAGGGGGGAGAGGAAAGAGGGCAGGAGATATGGCGGGGAGTGGGCAGGGTATAGAGCCGGCCTTGTTGGATGACATCATCAATCGCCTGTTGGAGTCCCGAAACGCGAGGACTGTGCGGCAGGTGCAGCTGTCGGAGAACGAGATCCGTGCTCTGTGCACGACGTCTCGTGAAATTTTCTTGTCCCAGCCTAATCTCCTCGAGCTGGAAGCCCCCATCAAGATCTGCGGTAAAACTTTCTTTGTTTTTGTTTTTGTTTGTGTTTTCGTTTTTGTTTTTTCTTTGCTTTGGTATCCTTCTTTTTCATCGCTGTACAATGGATTAGTGGTTGCTTGTTGTATGTGTGCCTTGTTGTGAAAATGTTTCGCCTTTGGTGTTTATTTGGAAAAATATGTTTTTCCTTTTACTAAAGTATACTTGAGGCGATTTTGAGGAATTTCACGGAGCATGTGCCTCATGGCAATCTCATGGTTTTAGTTTTTCTCTTTGCCATGTATAAAGAAAGTTACAATGTCGTTGAATGATTCATCATCAAATCCGAGAAATGTGTTTTTGTGCTTCCTCTCATTTGCAATGTTGGTTCTTTTAGTCTGCGCACATTAAGTTCCTTTTGTTGTTTAGTTAAGATTAAATGTCTATCTAAGTTGTCAAGTTATTAAATTCAAGGAAATTTTGTCATCCATCTGGCTGGCGAGAAATTATTCTAATTTGATTTATTCAGTCAGTTAGCTTGTAGAGTATGATCCTATAACATAGAAGATATCATAGGACTGTTCATTCGAGTACTTGAGAATCAACGTCTGTCGGATTGATTACTCCAAATGTACTATTACCTCTAGTTGATGAAATAACTACTTCCATTCATTGGCATCGATTCATTGTCAGTCAATAAAAAATGAATTTCTGAGATCAGAATATTTTTGTTTGATTTGTGTATTTTCAGAAAAAATAAATAAATAAATAAATAAATAATGAGCAGGCGTTTTTTTTCGGTATGTACATTCACATGTTTATCACACCTACATGAAGCCGATATATGTGATATCATAAAGTTGAATAGGGAGAAAGACTACTCTTATGGCTGTTTGGGAGTCGGCCTGATGTAGATCAAATAGACAAACAATGTTAGTTTTGCTTCATTGTTTCACGCTTTGAAAACTCAACAAAGCAGTAGAGCAGGTTTTGATCTTTCAAATTCCTCTCAGTGCCAATGCAATCTTCTCCATTGCTGCAAGATAACTCATGTGGCCCTCATTGCTGCATTTTTGTATCCGACAACTATCATTTTCTGATCTTTTACACGAATTAAGAACCTTGCATTGTCTCAATCGTTCTTTCTATCACATGGGGAAGTGTAACTTGCGATGCTACAATTTCCATTTTTCAAGTAAAGCCTTCCAACAAAAAGATGATGTAATTTTTTTTTTTTTTCATATGCAAATCTCCACATATCGGCTACACCTATTACTATATATAGGTGATATTGTTATTGTGAAAATAAGAGATGAAAGACACCCTTATAGCTCTTTTTTAATCTTGTTATGGATGCATGCAAAATGTCCAAATGGCTGAGCCATGTGTTCTTCTCTTCTTTTTCTGTCTTTAAAAATATCTAGTTATTTAGGTGAAACATGCACATGCTTTTCCACCCCCTCAGCCCCTCGCTACTAGGTAAAGAAGTGCAACTTGATTTTGGATTTTTTGTTGAGTTCTCTTATTGTCTTTTTTGTCGAATACAATTGTGATTATATTTATGAATTTCAGGTGACATTCATGGGCAGTATGGAGATCTTTTAAGACTTTTTGAATATGGGGGATTTCCTCCAGAGGCCAATTACTTATTCTTAGGAGATTATGTGGACCGCGGCAAACAAAGTTTAGAAACAATCTGCCTTCTTCTTGCCTACAAGATAAAATACCCGGAGAATTTCTTTCTCTTGAGAGGAAATCATGAATGTGCTTCTATTAATAGGATATATGGGTTCTATGACGAATGCAAAAGGCGTTATAACGTGAGATTGTGGAAAACATTTACAGATTGTTTTAACTGCCTTCCTGTGGCGGCTCTTATAGATGAGAAGATACTCTGCATGCATGGTGGTCTCTCTCCCGATCTAGCACACTTGGATCAGATAAGAAATTTACCTCGTCCAACTGATATTCCTGATGCTGGTCTGCTTTGCGATCTTCTTTGGTCTGATCCCAGTAGAGAAATTAAAGGTTGGGGGATGAATGACAGAGGAGTCTCGTACACATTTGGCCCAGATAAAGTGGCTGAATTTCTTATGCAGCATGATATGGACCTTGTTTGTCGTGCTCACCAGGTAAAATAATTTTTTCAATCTTTTTCCTTTCGCCTCTGAAGAAATTTTTATTTAGTAATTATGCTGTGATGAAAAACGTGCTTTTCTTGAGCAGGTTGTGGAAGATGGATACGAGTTCTTTGCCGAACGGCAGCTAGTTACTATATTCTCTGCTCCAAACTATTGTGGTGAATTTGACAATGCTGGTGCTATGATGAGTGTCGATGAGAGTCTGATGTGCTCGTTCCAGATTTTGAAACCAGCCGAGAGAAAGCGTTTCTTGTGAAACAAGTTTTGATATATATTTCCTCTCTTCTCTAGGAATTCCCAGGTTATAATTCTATTATATCTATATATCGTCAAGTTATGATTTCTGCTTCTGGCAGCATGTCAAAGAAAATTCGAAGTTCTTCCAGAGATTTAACTTATATTGTCTGGAAGTACTTTTTGCATGTTGATGGTTGGATATTCAGTTTGGAAAATTACATTTGATTCACATCTTTGATCGTTCTAAATTTGTTTGATGAGTTTTCTCCTTGTGGCTTCTCCATTTCTGTATTTCTTGCTCCTGCTCATAGGATATTATAGAGAAGTGCTTCAAAAAAAAAATGCCGTGCCATTTCTGCTTTTGTATATAAGAATTATCCCAAAAAGAAAATCCATCGAGTGACCATCTTGCTAATAGTTTTGTGGATATGGTGTTTGTTTCTATCCAGAATTCCACCCGGTTTTTT